GATGACTCGAAGAGTGGTTGGTTTTTCGGTCAAAAGGTGGAGAAAAAACGACCAAGAAGGTGCCTACTTCATCTATTTATTGAAGACGTTTCGCTTTCTAACCAGAAAGCATCATCAGTTCATCTAAAAAGAACAATATGAAAAACCAAACATCTAAAGAAAAGTTATTAAGTGTGTTACCTCAAAAAGACATGTAGCAGTCAATGATATTAAAATTGTAAAGAAGCTTATGACAATGGACATTAACAGATTATGTTGTATAAACAATAAATTAAACTAAATATAGTTAATAATTTTCTCAAACTTAGCACAGTAAAAGAACATGTGGTAGTTGTACATGAATATAAAAATTATGTAAAAAAAGCATAAAAAACACATTAATATGAAGAAAAACTAAAAAGATCAGATGCACTTCCAACAGTATATCAATAGTTAAAGTTTAATTTTGACTTTAGGTAGCATTATTAAAGTGATTGATTGAAATTTAGTAATTTAAAATTATAATGAAGTTACCACTACGAGCTTCTAGTCTGCTGCCGGTGAAATGAAGGCAACAGGTGTTAACAACGCCAACAACGTGAAAAGATAGTGGCCTTGAGGTCAACGCGTGACAGATCAACAAAGCGTAATACCAACTCTAATACAATAGAGCGGTTTATTTAAAAAATAATATGACAAATTAGGTTAACAACCTGTCTGTATAAACCAAAAAATGAAAGGAAAAGGTGGTTGAGCACACCATTCCCCCCCCCCCAGTGATCAGTTGAGAGAAACAAAGAACAAACAAATGAGGTCAATCCAATATATATATATATATATATATATATATATATATATATATATATATATATAAGTAAGAAAAAAGAAGTACTTGTGACTCGTTTGGAAAAAATATAATACTCTTTTGGATGGGTTGGTCAATAAAAGGGGCTATTGGTTAACTATTTTTTACTCGAGCTTTCAATTGTGTTTACAATTATCATCAAGAGCTGCTCAAAAATACAAAATATCTTACAAAGTTGAACTAGAAATAAAAAAATTTATTAACTCACCAAATAAAATTGGTTTTGTATAAAAAAATGCTGCTAACATATTACAAAAAATATTAATACAAAAATGTTCTAATATAATAAATGTTTCTCTAAAATTTTAATTTTGAAACAGTTTCTTAACAAAAATTGAATTTGTAAATAAAATTGAATAGTTACAAATAAGCCTCAATGTCATAAATACCAACTTAGAAATTTTTATCTTTGACAACTATATTGTCAAAAATAAAATTTTGTTTAAAAATTATTTTTTGTTAAGTAACAAAAAAGAAGAAGATTTATTCACCATTGATAGATGCCTGAAAAAATGGAACAAATACATGGAAAATTAAATCAAAATGTGATATTTTACTGATTTCATATATAAACTACATAGAGATAATATAATTATAAATTTTGCTTAGATTTTGAATTTCTGACCTTTTGTTTAAATTATTATCACTTTTGCTAATACAAACCATTTCCAAAAAAGTTCTTTTAAACTTATTACTTTCACTACATAAAATTTTAATATTATCAAAATCCATAATACGGTCTTTGTCTATTACATGCTCTGCCAAAGCACAAGATGATTTCTTAATTCTGCAATCAATTTTGTGAGAAATAATGCGATTTCAGAGGTTTTTTCCGGTCTCACCAACATAGTCAGCTTCACACTGAGTACAACTAATGCTGTATACTACATTTGTTTTGTAAACACAATTGAAAGCTCGAGTAAAAAATAGTTAACCAATAGCCCCTTTTATTGACTCCAACCCATCCAAAACAGATTTATATTTTTTCCAAACGAGTCACAAGTACTTCTTTTTTTTTACTCTTGTAGAAAAATATGGGTTTTTTTCATGACATCCGAAATGATTATGGGCAATCCACAGTCAGAAATCTGAAGGAGTGGACTAGAATTACCATCAAACTTGCTGCTTTATACAATCAGAAGACCTCTTTATTGAAATGTAGATCTAATGGATGTTTCCCTGGACATATTACAAATGGTCTAGTTAATGTTAATTCCCTTTTACATCATCGCACTGGGAATATTCATCATGATGCTCGGAAATTATGTGACAGGTTTTTTTGAAAGTTTTCTTCGAAAGAAACTTTTTTGAAAGAAAATTACATGAGTTACGTACCAAGGCTTATAATATATTTTAAATTTCCACACATTTAATGAATTTAATCGTAGACAAAAATTAAATACAACACAGAATTTCATAAAATCAAAAAAAAAATACAAATTAATAAGTTCAATAAATTAAAAATAGCTTTTGATAAGATAAAATTTCAAGAAAAATGGTTTAAAAATCTAACATCTATTCATTTTCCTTTTAAAATTAAAAAATTTTTAGCATTAGGACCTAAATTTTCTTTATGTCCTTCCAAATCTGATATTAAAGTTCCTAATTTACTTTCTAATATTGAATCAATAAGGACTACTTAATGATAATCAAAAGGATGTTGTTAGATATAAATGTACAAACGTCATTACAAACTTTTTACATAAAGAAGTCAACGATAATTTTTTAACTAAATACTATGTATAAACTAAACTTTTTCTTAAAAACCATTCTGAAATTTACATTGTCAAAAGCGATAAAGGTAACGTAACTGTTGTAATGTATAAAGAGGATTACCTACAAAAAACTGGAGAACTCTTAAATGATACTAAGTATTACACTACACTTAGAAGGAGTCCTGTTTGTACTTTGCAGCAAAAAGCAAATTGAAAGCAAAAAACAATTGAATTTGTAAACAAAAATTGAATAGCTACAAACCGCCTAAATGTCATAAATACTAACTTAAAAATTTTTATTTTTGACATATTGTCAAAAATAAAATTTTTTTTTAAATTCTTCTTTGTTTAGTAACAAAAAAGAAGAAGATTTATTCACCATTGATAGATGCCCGAAAAAATGTAACAAATACATGGAAAATTCAAAAGGTGATATTTTAATGACTGCGTATATAAATTACATAGAAATAATATAATTATAAATTTTGCTTAGATTTTGAATTTCTGACCTTTTGTTTAAATTATTATCACTTTTGCTAATACAAACCACTTCCAAAAAAGTTCTTTTAAATTTATTACTTTCACTACATAAAATTTTAATATTATCAAAATCCATAATATGGTCTTTGTCTATTACATGCTCTGCCAAAGCATATGTATATATATATATAATATATATATATATATATATATATATATATATATATATATATATATATATATATATAGATATATATATATAGATATATATAAATATATATATACATATATATATATATATATATATATATATATATATATATATATATATATATGTATATAAACTGGGGTGCAAAATTAACCGGACACTTAAATTTTTTTGTTTTTTGTTGGTGTTTAGATCAAAACTTGTTTAATTTGATTGAATTGTATTTTATGCCATATTAGCGATAACATTTTTTTCTCGTTTGGACCTGTTTAGATGTTTTGTGCGAACAACAACACTTTTATACATGCGTTTTGTTATTAATGTGAAATAATGGATTAGTAATATTTAAGTTTATTGTGGTACTGTTGATACTGTAAAAAAATTATTACACCAGAAGAAGAAGAAGCACCAGCTGTTGCTTTTACAGGATGATGGGCGGAGCATTCTTTACGTCGCAAATGCTTTAGGAATTTCTCGAAGTACAGTGTTTGATGCAATACACAGATTTCGGAAAACAGGACAATACACCAGGAGGTCAGGTCAAGGTAGACGAAGAACCATAAGTCAAGTTGAAGATCGCTTTCTTAAGTTACAAGCGTTACGTGATCGTGCATTATCAGCACCAGTTCTTGTTCAACGATTAAATCATGTCCATAGAAACACAGTTTTCGTTTAAACGGTTTGAAGACCATTTAATGAATACGGATTAAGGTCCAGAATACCTGTCAAGGGACCTCTATTAACAGCAGATCATCGGAGACAACGTTTACACTTCGCTCGTGAACCGCTTAATTTGGGTGTTGACGATTGGAGTGCTGCGCTTTTAACGGATTAATCAAGATTAACAGATACTCATCAGATGGACGGCCTAGAATATGGAGAAGAGCTGGTGAACCTTACCAACAATTCGTTGGAGGTGTTATAATGGTGTGGGCAGGCAATTTTCTAGAGGCTCATACAGGACATGTTACAATTCCAGGGAGCAATTTGAACGTTCAACGGTATATTCAGCATTGTTTGAAAGATAATGTAGTGACATTTGCCCCAGTAGTTGGAGAAAACTTTCGTCTGAGGCAAGATAATGCTCGTCCACACATCGTAAGAATTATACGGGATTACTTTGATTAAGTTGGGATTCGTTTATTACCATGGCCTCCAAGCAGTTCAGACTTAAATCCAATTAAGCATGCATGGGATATTCTGGAACGACATATTCGACATAACCATGGTGAGTTTGAAACCATGAATGATTTGGAGCAAGCAGTTCGTGACGAATTGGAGCAAATTCCTTAAGACTCAGACTTTGCTGCCTTAATCCGAAGTATACTTGATCGAATGAGAGCCGTAATTATTGCATGTGGATCATGAGGGTAATACACTCGACTAAATATCGTTTTCGATAAAAAATGTTCATATATTTAAAAAAATATTAATTTTTGTTTTGTTGTAGATTTTCAAATTTTTTGAATTCTGAAAACAATTTGTATTTTGAATTTATTGTTTGTTCCGTGTAACGTTCTTAAGTTGTGATACATTTGACTTTTAAATTTTGTTTTTTATTAAATACTCAATTGGGAACATCTTAAACTTTTTTAAACGCTAGTTTTTAAGAAACATCTGGGTGTCCGGTTAATTTTGCACTACAGTGTATATATATATATATATATATATATATATATATATATATATATATATATATAAATAATATAATATAAATAATGTAATGTTTTAATTAGTATGGTTTATTTTTTAGACTGATCTTATGGGTCAATCTCTTTTCAACATAACTTCTCCTGATGACCAGGACCGTCTCAAGATTTTCCTACAATGTGAAGGAGACATTGAACAAGAATGGAGGAAGTGCTTCAATATTAAGCTGAAACGAGCAGGTCCTCGATCCGAGACTCCCGTTTACGAACAAGTGAGGATGATGGGTATGCACCGGCAGGGAACGCCTACCGGTGCTCATCAAAATAATATGTTGTCAAGCAGCAGTAGTAGCAGTTCAAGCAGCAGTTCTGGAAGTTCAGTAAATGCAGACGATGTAAGTATTTATGTAGATATTCAAAGACCTCGTATTTTCTGTCTTCAAGTTTATTTTATTGTCAAGGTTTATTGCTAACTATTATTAAGTTGACTGTCGTCAACAACGATTCTGACTTAGACAGGTAATTCAAAATTTTGTGAACGTAACAAAAGTTTGTTAAGTTGATTTTCTTTAGTAGAGTTTTTTTGGTTGTCGTTACATATGAGCTGAAGTCCATTGTCCATATGAGTTTTATAGCAATCACATTTTTCCCTACATCATTAGAATCCAATCCAATTCTTTTAACATGATTATTCAAGTAAAAATATATGTAATAAAGGTAGACATACATGTAACTTCGCACGTGTAATGATTATGCCATACTTACAAATTCGTATAATATCATAAATAATCTTAGTTCTAAGTATGTATACATGGGTTTTCTAAAATACATCATAATTGTTCTAATACTTGTGTGCAACTTTGTATTTAAGACTTGTAGTACAATTTAAGTATTTGTTTGTTGGTATTACTGCGATACTTGTATTCATTAAATTATTTTACATAATTAATGCTTATTTAGTTTTTGTCATCGGTAAATACTCAGAGAGCCAAAACAATATATATGTTTATTTTAAAAAAAGTCAATATAACAGTTTCGAAATCTGTATATTAGAAAAACTGTTCGTTTATTTTCATTATCATTAGAATCTTACAGCTTACAGCTTGTAACAACTACGAATATGTTAACTATTCATACATATTATAGACTGTTCTGATTACATACATTATAGACTGTTCTATTTTCTTGTGGCATCTTAATGCAATTACTATTTTTGTTGTAAGTTAGCCACAATTTAAGTTTAAAATAAGTTTATTTTTGACGTTTTTATTGCCACTTCGTAAATCGTTTTTAAAATACAAAACATTAATGATCATTATTAAATTCATTAATTTTATTATTCAATTTCCGAAAATGAAACGTCAAAAATAAACTTCTTTTAAATTTAAATTGTGGATTACTCCCAGCAAAACGAGTAACTGCATTAATATTATTTTACAATATGGCACAAGATAACACAGAAAAAGTTTAAAAAATACCTCTCACGCTTAAAAAATATTTATTATAATGCAATACAAATAAATAAGTAAGTAAATAAGTAATATGCTTTATTGTCATTAAAAATTGTACAAATTTTATCAACAAAGCTTATAACAATAAGACAAGAAAAAAGAAATAAAATCAGAATAAGAATCGTTTGGACTTTTAAATAAAAAAAAACAATAAACTTCTTTTAAACTTGAACATAAAAAATACTACCTAATACTGCCTAAGAACCTACAAACTTCGTAAAATGTATTTAACAAAAAATAAAAATTAGGAAAGCAGATTAATGAATTTAGGGCTCAAATATTCCACCTCCTTGTGCTAAACAGTAACCGAATCTGTCATAGGTTTGTGGCCCTTTGCGTATACAACTGATGCGTATAAATGTTGTCTTTGAGAAAACAAAAAAAAAAGAAATCGTTCAGCGCTAAGTCACAGGATCTAGCGGGCATTTAATTGTACCACGTGTAGTTTCAGTCGACCAGGAAATGTTTGATTGAGGAAGTCAATAGTTGCATTAGAGTTGTGAGCCGAACACTCATCCTGTTGGAAATAAACCTCCTGAAAATTAACGGAAAGGCGTCGAACTGCCGGAATGATCTCATTCTGTAAAAGTTGTAAATATTTGGGCCCGTTTAGGTTTCCATCGATAAAAAATGGACCGACAATATGGTAACCTAACATCCCAGTCCAAACATTTAACTTTTGCGGATGCTGCGTTCGCACTGCAACACTGAGGTGCTTATTTTTCCGACAATAATACCTTGCAACGGATGGATTGTATGTAGTGAAAAAGACGATTCGTCAGAAAATAAAAATATTTTTTAAAAAGTGTACATTTTCATTCTGTTTATCTAACAAAAATTTACAAAACTCCATCCGCCTAGAGTTATCTTTCGGAAACAGTTCTTGTGTTGGTTGTATCTTAAAACAGTGGTGCCCATTCGTTTTGAGAACTCGCTGGACAGTTCGAGCATTCACGTTCCCTACAATTCAACTAGCAACTTCCCTAGCAATTTGTACACTATTGCAGAGCTCACTAGCTTTCACAAAAGCACAAATATCAATATCCCTGTTTTGACGCTCCTCGTCGTGGTTCAGGACTAATACGTGGTTCATTACCTTCGTGACACAATTGTTTACACATCCCGAACTTTGAAAATGTTTAACGGTATTTTTAACTGTTGTAACACTTGGTGGGAGTCTATTTTCGAAGGCAACAATAAATAAATCAATTACTTCGCCTATCGAATGACCCTGAAAGTACCATATTACAAGTTGCATTTTTTCTTGGACGGTATCCAACCTAATAGGCATTTTATTAATTATTTGTTTATTCTTTCAGAACTTTGTTTGAAATTTTTAATGTCAATGTCACAATTACGACATTTCGTACCTACTGTGAAATGAATATAGAGGTGGAAACGTATAACATCTCACAACGATTGCCATTGTGTTGTATGGTCAATAAAACAATGTCGTGATCTGTATATGGTTTTTCAATTTTTCGTTCTGATATATAAATCATACCGCATAAATGGAAAAATAAAATGATTATTTACTATATTATGTGTCAAGTTTTACATTAAAACTTTTATAAAAAATTATGAAAATTTGTTTCGTGTTATTAGATTGTTTTAACAGATTCTATTAGTTGTATATGTATGTTAGTTTTTTTCGTCGCTTTCTACGAGGGTGGATTGATATAAAACTAGCCTTTGATAGAAAAAACAAGTTTTTTGGAATTAAATCGATTTATTTCTGAAAATAGTCCCCTTTTAGCATGATACACTTAGTACGACGATGTTCCAATTTTTTTTGTCCCATCTGAATAGTACTTTTGCTCTAGCCCTTCAAAATATGCCGAAGTTTCAGCGACGTCCTCATCATTTGTTGCGAAACGGCGTCCTCCAAGCCGTTTTTTTAGGTTTGGAAACTGTTGAAGTTTCGCGACTGTATATAAACTTTTTTAAAGGAATAACAGACTTTTTGATAGTTTCGATTCTCCCCGTATATTTTAACTGAGATTTGCCTATACGAAAAGTACAGCTGTTTTAAGAACTAATTTAAAAGAACGAGGCATCTGCGAAATATCACCACACGTGTGTGTATAAGTTAAGGGTTTGAATTCCATCTACAAAATCATAGTCGAGTTTTATCTTTCAAAGCATACATATGTGTATGTGCGTTTAGGTTAAGAGTACCTAACTTCTTCGTATCGGTCTGGCGACCGAGATAGACGTCAAATTTGTTTTTCCTGTTGTTCGTCGGTCAAGACATCTTTTACGATAGCCGGGGTGCTATCTTTTGATAGGGTAAAGTACATATAATATATACACCATAATTTTGTTGTTGGATGGGCTAAGTACGTATTTTGTGCCCAAATATCACATAGTGTGTCACGGTTTTTGACTTTTTTACATGTATTTGAGACTTTATTTTATTGCGCTGAACTTTATATTTCATTGTATCGCCCGCTGAAAATATTTACGTTTGCACAGATATTTGTCTGTATCCGTAATTATTATGGACTTGTTTGCATTAATAATTTTATTAATTTATTATTAATTGACAACTTATTAGGTTATACTAATTTTACTATTCTTTTTGTGTCTTTATGAGTTTACTAATTGCATTAATTTTATTATTAATTTAATGTGCATTTTATTACCGGATATATTTTTGAATTTAGTTTATTGAATTATTTTTATACCATATGTCAATATTTTTATGTTTATAACATGGTATATATACGAAATTATTTTACTGCTTTCGGTCAGTAGTTTTTTTTTAGAATCGACATTTTTGTTTCGGGACGTCTTTTGGTATGTCGTTTCGTATTGCCTAATATTTAAGTTTGTATATTCTTCTTTAGTTGTAATTGTATATTTGGTTATGTATATTTATGTTTTAATTTTATTGCATTTTAAATAGTTTTATAAAGTCCGCTGGCTTTGATTTCTTTTCTTTATTTGAATATACGTATCCAATGCGAAAGGGGGAAACCAGCGAGTTCTGGATTGAACAGAATACATTCTCTTCCTCTTTCTGATGACACCAATTGTTATATTGAGGTCAACGTATGTGTAGAACGCAACAGAAACAGGAAAAAATCGCTGGCGGCAAAATCTGGGGAATACGGTGGGTGTTCAACCGATTCATAGCCCAATTCGTGTAATTTTGCCATGGCGACGGTCGATCGGTGAACCGATGCATCGTCTTGGTGAAAGAGCACTTTTTTGCGTTCCAAACCGGGACGTTTTCATCTCCATGAAATCCGATCCAATAATGCTGCGTACTCACCATTTATTGTTTTTTCTTTTTCTAAGTAGCAGATGTGGATGATGGTCTTCGCATCCCAGAAAACAGACGCCATCACTTTGCCGGCCGAATGTCCACTCTTTGCCTTCTTCGGCGGCCCTTCGCCGCGTTTGCGCCACTGATTCGACTGTTCTTTGGTTTCCGGTGTGTATTAACGCACCCAGGTTTTATCAACGGTGATAAATCGGCGAAAAAAATCCTTCGGATCGCGCCGTATCATCGCCAAAAGCGTCTCCGAAGTGATACCACGTTTTTGCATTTGTTCGATTGTCAGCAAACGCGGATAGCTTTTTCGTATCCAAATGATGGTGAATGATGTTGTGTACGTGTTCGTAGGAAATGTTTAGGACCTCTATTAACTCGCTGAGCTTATTTCGACGATCTGCCATAATCATGTCATGGACTTTGTTAATTATTTCCGGCGTAATGAAAATACCTTTACAAATACAAAATATCAATATCGTGCACAGTTTAAATTATCGGCGAAGAGAGTCTGATGCTATTTAAAAATATTCAACCAAATTTGGTTAAAGGTCTTACTTAAGAGTAAGAGACTTAAGTCTCTCTTTGCTATTTAATGGGCGTATCT